CCTCTGGTGGTGACTCAGGGAGTTACAGTCAGACTGAAGTTTGTATACTTTGATATTAATCCAGGCTCAAGAAAATGCTCTCATTGATAATATTTTTTAAGCATTATTCATAAGTGTTTAAGAAAATAATTATTATTTAAAAAAAAAAATTATTATTTTAAAAAATAATTAAATAATAGTAATAATATTGTTTTTTCTTTGAACGAGCTGCACTCTGACTGCAGTCGGCTGTGCAGATGTTTGTGACAGAGACAGAGACAGAGACAGAGGCAGAGGCAGAGGCAGAGGCAGAGGCAGAGGCAGAGGCAGAGACAGAGACAGAGGCAGAGGCAGAGGCAGAGGCAGAGACAGAGGCAGAGGCAGAGGCAGAGGCAGAGGCAGAGGCAGAGGCAGAGACAGAGACAGAGGCAGAGGAAGAGGCAGAGGCAGAGGCAGAGGCAGAGGCAGAGGCAGAGGCAGAGACAGAGACAGAGACAGAGACAGAGGCAGAGGCAGAGGCAGAGGCAGAGGCAGAGGCAGAGGCAGAGACAGAGGCAGAGGCAGAGGCAGAGGCAGAGGCAGAGACAGAGAGGCAGAGACAGAGGCAGAGACAGAGGCAGAGGCAGAGGCAGAGGCAGAGGCAGAGAGGCAGAGACAGAGGCAGAGACAGAGACAGAGGCAGAGAGACCAGAACGTTACACCACAAATGATGTAAGAGTTTATTATGTAGGACACGGCTAACTATAGAGGAGCAGCTTTGCAGCAACAGGTGAAAGTGTTTAAGCAGTGTGTGTATGTGTGTATATATGTGTGTGTGTGTGTATACGTGTGAGTGTGTGTGATAAATGGGTCACGTTTCACTTTATTCAACAAAAAAGCAGAAAAATGAGAATTTTAAAAACACTTGTTGAGGTTTAGTTTTGAAGCCACAGAATTCAAAACTGATCCATGAAAATGATTATTATCGGTTCATTTGACACCGACATGAAACTACTTTTCTGTAAAAATAGTTTGTTCAAAACAATCTTTTTGATGCTTTTATTTAAATGAGAAAAACACAAACATGAACTGGACTCCCAGACACAAACCTGACTCGTCCTGGTCCTGAGGCTTGTCCTGGTCCTGAGGCTCCTCCTGGTCCTGAGGCTCGTCCTGGTCCTGAGGCTCGTCCTGGTCCTGAGGCTCCTCCTGGTCCAGAGGCTCCTCCTGGTCCTGAGGCTCGGCCTGGTCCTGAGGCTCCTCCTGGTCCTGAGGCTCCTCCTGGTCCTGAGGCCCTGGGCTCGTCCTGGTCCTGAGGCTCCTCCTGGTCCAGAGGCTCCTCCTGGTCCTGAGGCTCGTCCTGGTCCTGAGGCTCCTCCTGGTCCTGAGGCTCCTCCTGGTCCTGAGGCTCCTCCTGGTCCTGAGGCTCCTCCTGGTCCTGAGGCTCCTCCTGGTCCTGAGGCTCGTCCTGGTCGACGCTGGTTCTTTGCCTCAGCTCCATCTTCACAGAATGTTCCATCGTTTAAACTTTGCCTCAAGAAAGTTCTTTAATCTTTAAAAACTATTTTAAAGATAAATCCAAACGTCACTGTTTCTGTGACGTTTATTTTTATTGTTAGAGACTTTTACATTTATTTATTTATGTGTTTCTCCAACAGGACAGACACACACACTGTGACCCACAGACACACACACTGTGACCCAGACACACACGCGTGACCCACAGACACGCGTAACCCACAGACACACACTGTGACCCACAGACACACACTGTGACCCACAGACAAACACTGTGACCCACAGACAAACACTGTGACCCACAGACACACACTGTGACCCACACACACACAGACACGCGTAACCCACAGACACACACGTGTGACCCACAGACACACACGTGTGACCCACAGACACACACTGTGACCCACAGACACACACTGTGACCCACAGACACACACTGTGACCCACAGACAAACACTGTGACCCACACACACACAGACACGCGTAACCCACAGACACACACGTGTGACCCACAGACACACACTGACACGCGTAACCCACAGACACACACTGTGACCCACAGACAAACACTGTGACACAGACACACACAGACACGCGTAACCCACAGACACACACGTGTGACCCACAGACACACACTGTGACCCACAGACACACACTGACATGCGTAACCCACAGACACACACTGTGACCCACACTGTGACCCACAGACACACACTGTGACACACACTGTGACCCACAGACACACACACGTGACCCACAGACACACACTGTGACACACTGTGACCCACAGACACACAGGTGTAAAGTTCCATAATATATTTATTTAAATGCACAACAGCGACAGACTCAGAACACAGAAAGGGGAGGAGCTTCAGAGGAGAAACGCCACGGCAGCCGACATCAGCAGAAAGGGGAGGAGCTTCAGAGGAGAAACGCCACGGCGGCCGACGTCAGCAGAAAGGGGAGGAGCTTCAGAGGAGAAACGCCACGGCGGCCGACGTCAGCAGAAAGGGGAGGAGCTTCAGAGGAGAAACGCCACGGCGGCCGACGTCAGCAGAGAGAGCCCGATCACCGTGTACCCGGTACGATAGACCTCCGGGATCCTGAAGCCTTTACCGATGTCCCACCACTGTCAGAGAGAGAGAGGGTTAGAGCGAGAGAGACCACTGTCAGAGAGAGAGAGAGGGTTAGAGCGAGAGAGACCACTGTGAGAGAGAGAGGGTTAGAGCGAGAGAGACCACTGTCAGAGAGAGAGAGAGGGTTAGAGCGAGAGAGACCACTGTGAGAGAGAGGGTTAGAGCGAGAGAGACCACTGTCAGAGAGAGAGAGGGTTAGAGCGAGAGAGACCACTGTGAGAGAGAGAGAGGGTTAGAGCGAGAGAGACCACTGTCAGAGAGAGAGAGAGGGTTAGAGCGAGAGAGACCACTGTGAGAGAGAGAGGGTTAGAGCGAGAGAGACCAGTGTGAGAGAGAGGGTTAGAGCGAGAGAGACCACTGTGAGAGAGAGGGTTAGAGCGAGAGAGACCAGTGAGAGAGAGAGAGGGTTAGAGCGAGAGAGACCACTGTGAGAGAGAGGGTTAGAGCGAGAGAGACCAGTGAGAGAGAGAGAGGGTTAGAGCGAGAGAGACCACTGTGAGAGAGAGGGTTAGAGCGAGAGAGACCAGTGTGAGAGAGAGAGGGTTAGAGCGAGAGAGACCAGTGTGAGAGAGAGAGGGTTAGAGCGAGAGAGACCAGAGTGAGAGAGAGAGGGTTAGAGCGAGAGAGACCACTGTGAGAGAGAGGGTTAGAGCGAGAGAGACCACTGTCAGAGAGAGAGAGGGGGTTAGAGCGAGAGAGACCAGAGTGAGAGAGAGGGTTAGAGCGAGAGAGACCACTGTGAGAGAGAGGGTTAGAGCGAGAGAGACCACTGTGAGAGAGAGGGTTAGAGCGAGAGAGACCACTGTGAGAGAGAGGGTTAGAGCGAGAGAGACCACTGTGAGAGAGAGGGTTAGAGCGAGAGAGACCACTGTGAGAGAGAGGGTTAGAGCAAGAGAGACCACTGTGAGAGAGAGGGTTAGAGCGAGAGAGACCCTGTGTCCAGAGGAGAAAGAGAGAGAGGGCTAGAGGGGAGAGACTGACAGAGGACTGAGGACCTGATAGAGGACTGAGGACCTGACAGAGGACTGAGGACCTGACAGAGGACCTGATAGAGGACTGAAGACCTGACAGAGGACTGAGGACCTGACAGAGGACCTGATAGAGGACTGAAGACCTGACTGAGGACTGAGGACCTGATAGAGGACCTGATAAAGGACTGAAGACCTGAAAGAGGACCTGATAGAGGACTGAGGACCTGACTGAGGACTGAGGACCTGACAGAGGACTGAGGACCTGATAGAGGACCTGATAAAGGACTGAAGACCTGATAGAGGACTGAGGACCTGACAGAGGACTGAGGACCTGACAGAGGACTGAGGACCTGACAGAGGACTGAGGACCTGACAGAGGACTGAGGACCTGACAGAGGACTGAGGACCTGACAGAGGACTGAGGACCTGATAGAGGACCTGATAAAGGACTGAAGACCTGAAAGAGGACCTGATAGAGGACTGAGGACCTGACTGAGGACTGAGGACCTGACAGAGGACTGAGGACCTGACAGAGGACTGAGGACCTGACAGAGGACTGAGGACCTGATAGAGGACCTGATAAAGGACTGAAGACCTGAAAGAGGACCTGATAGAGGACTGAGGACCTGACAGAGGACCTGATAGAGGACTGAGGACCTGACAGAGGACTGAGGACCTGACAGAGGACCTGATAGAGGACTGAGGACCTCATAGAGGACCTGATAGAGGACTGAGGACCTGACAGAGGACTGAGGACCTGACAGAGGACCTGATAGAGGACTGAGGACCTCATAGAGGACCTGATAGAGGACCTGACAGAGGACTGAAGACCTGACAGAGAACCTGACCTGACAGGAGAGGACCTGACAGAGGACTGAGGACCTCATAGAGGACCTGATAGAGGACTGAGGACCTGACAGAGGACCTGACAGAGGACTGAGGACCTGACAGAGGACCTGACAGAGGACTGAGGACCTGACAGAGGACCTGATAGAGGACTGAGGACCTCATAGAGGACCTGATAGAGGACCTGACAGAGGACTGAGGACCTGACAGAGGACTGAGGACCTGACAGAGGACTGAGGACCTGACAGAGGACTGAGGACCTGACAGAGGGACTGAGGACCTGACAGAGGACTGAGGACCTGACAGAGGACTGAGGACCTGACAGAGGACTGAGGACCTGACAGAGGACTGAGGACCTGACAGAGGACTGAGGACCTGACAGAGGACTGAGGACCTGACAGAGGACTGAGGACCTGACAGAGGACTGAGGACCTGATAGAGGACTGACCAGGTGGCGGACCCCGTTGAGGGTGTGGAAAGAGACCGGGAAAGCGATGCCGAGTTTGGCGAGTCCGATCAGAGCCGGTCCCACCCACAGGGAGTGGATCAGGTCCAAGTAGTACGGGTACGAGCCCGGCAGGACCAGGGCGGCCGCCGCGAACGCCGAGATTGCTGCAACACAACATTCACACAAACACACAATGTTTACACAAACAACACAACTTGGAAGTGGTTCATGGACACATCACAAACTCAGTCATACATGTCGTATGTTGTGTCCTTCACACGTGTTGTTTTTGTCGTGATCATCTACAGTTGATTCCTAAGCCCCGCCCCCGACCTGCTCCTATCAGAGGGACCCTAGCACTGATTGACAGCTGTGGGCTGCAACTTTATGAATGGGACTGGTCTGAGCAGGTCAAAGGGACCAGAGTCAAAGGGACCACAGTCAAAGGGACCACAGTCAAAGGGACCACAGTCAAAGGGACCAGAGTCAAAGGGACCAGAGTCAAAGGGACCAGAGTCAAAGGGACCAGAGTCAAAGGGACCACAGTCAAAGGGACCACAGTCAAAGGGACCAGAGTCAAAGGGACCACAGTCAAAGGGACCACAGTCAAAGGGACCACAGTCAAAGGGACCACAGTCAAAGGGACCACAGTCAAAGGGACCACAGTCAAAGGGACCAGAGTCAAAGGGACCACAGTCAAAGGGACCACAGTCAAAGGGACCAGAGTCAAAGGGACCAGAGTCAAAGGGACCACAGTCAAAGGGACCACAGTCAAAGGGACCACAGTCAAAGGGACCACAGTCAAAGGGACCACAGTCAAAGGGACCAGAGTCAAAGGGACCACAGTCAAAGGGACCACAGTCAAAGGGACCACAGTCAAAGGGACCACAGTCAAAGGGACCACAGTCAAAGGGACCAGAGTCAAAGGAAGTCGTGTTTAAACCATTGTTTGTTTTAATTCAAGTCAGATCAACGTTTTTACAGTGTATATGACGATCATGAGAAGAGACCAGAGAGAGACCAGAGAGAGACCAGAGAGACCAGAGCGAGACCAGAGCGAGACCAGAGCGAGACCAGAGCAAGAGAGACCAGAGCAAGAGAGACCAGAGAGACCAGAGCAAGAGAGACCAGAGCAAGAGAGACCAGAGCGAGAGAGACCAGAGAGACCAGAGCAAGAGAGACCAGAGAGACCAAAGCAAGAGAGACCAGAGCAAGAGAGACCAGAGCGAGACACCAGAGAGACCAGAGAAAGACCAGAGAGAGACCAGAGAGAGACCATAGAGAGCAGCGCGAGAGACCTGAGAGAAAATAGAGAGAGACAAGAGCGAGACCAGAGAGAGACCAGAGTGAGACCAGAGTGAGACCAGAGTGAGACCAGAGAGAGACCAGAAAGAGACCAGAGAGAGACCAGAGAGAGACCAGAGAACAGAGAGAGACCAGAGAGACCAGAGAGAGACCAGAGAGAGACCAGAGAGAGACCAGAGAGAGAGACCAGAGAGAGACCAGAGATCAGACAGAGACCAGAGAGAGAGACCAGAGAGAGAGACCAGAGAGAGAGACCAGAGAGAGACCAGAGAGAGACCAGAGAGAGACCAGAGAGAGACCAGAGAGAGACCAAAGTGGCTGTGACTCTCACCTACACTCAGAGCCACTCCTGTTCCTCTGAAAGTCACTGACATCACCATGGGGACGGACCACCTGCAACAACAGGAGAGACGTGAGCCCCGCCCCTTCTGCCTGAGCCCAGCCTTATCAAACATCATGCACCGAGTTTTGTGGTGTTGTTCTTATATTTCCCACTTCTACACAAAGAAAGCAGTGTCTACATTTTACACACATAACAACATTTAAGAAACTTTATTGATCTCACATTTACAATATTATTAAATCATTTATGAAAAGGGCAGGACTTGGGTCTGTGCATGTTCCCGGGGCTCATATTAAACCCAGACGTGTTTGTATGTCTCTCTGGTCTCTCTCTCTGGTCTCTCTCTCTGGTCTCTCTCTCTGGTCTCTCTCTCTGGTCTCTCTCTCTGGTCTCTCTCTCTGGTCCTCTCTCTCTCTGGTCTCTCTCTCTGGTCTCTCTCTCTGGTCTCTCTCTGGTCTCTCTCTGGTCTCTCTCTGGTCTCTCTCTGGTCTCTCTCTGGTCTCTCTCTGGTCTCTCTCTGGTCTCTCTCTGGTCTCTCTCTGGTCTCTCTCTGGTCTCTCTCTCTGGTCTCTCTCTCTGGTCTCTCTCTCTCTCTCTCTGGTCTCTCTCTCTGGTCTCTCTCTCTCTCTGGTCTCTCTCTCTGGTCTCTCTCTCTGGTCTCTCTCTCTGGTCTCTCTCTCTGGTCTCTCTCTCTCTGGTCTCTCTCTCTGGTCTCTCTCTCTCTGGTCTCTCTCTCTGGTCTCTCTCTCTGGTCTCTCTCTCTGGTCTCTCTCTCTGGTCTCTCTCTGGTCTCTCTCTGGTCTCTCTCTGGTCTCTCTCTGCTTGTCTCTCTCTGGTCTCTCTCTGGTCTCTCTCTGGTCTCTCTCTGGTCTCTCTCTGGTCTCTCTCTGGTCTCTCTCTGGTCTCTCTCTGGTCTCTCTCGTCTCTCTCTTTAAACCCAACCAAAGGAACTGGGAGGTTTCTCTGACTAAAGAACAGGTCCTGGTTCTGGAGTTTATAAATGTGAATATACAGTTTCCTAAAGACCAGATATTTAAAGTCATGTTGTACCTTTGTTATGGACAAAGGTACAACATGCTGAACGCACACCTCACACCTGTCACATCTGTCACATGTCTGTACCAACTTTCATATTTCTGTTGCCTTTGAATGTTCGCTACAATGTGACATTGAAAAACTTGCATCTGTCTAAAAACAACAACACTTCCAGGTCACTGTCTGGATTTCATTGTTATGTGAGACAAATGAGTTTAAAAATCTGAAAGCCTCGTTGTCGGACATATCTCTCATACGCACATACACACACACACGCACACACACACACTCACCTGTAGATGGTGAGGTGTGGGGACATGGGCCGGTTCAGTCTGGTGTTTTTGGCCCAGAATTTGTTCATTTCCTCTTTGGCCGTGGTCCCCATCGGAGCAGCACTGGAGCAGAGAAAAGAGAAGAGAGAGAAGAGAGAGGAGAGAGAAGAGAGAGAGGGGGGAGAGAGAGAGGGGAGAGAGAGAAAAGAGAGAGAGAGGGGAGAGAGAGAGATAGGGGGAGAGAGGGGAGAGAGGGAGAGAGAGAATAGAGAGAGAGGGGAGAGAGAGAGAGGAGAAAGAGAGGAGAGAGAGAGAGAAGAGAGAGGAGAGAGAGAGAGGGGAGAGAGAGAGGAGAGAGGAGAGAGAGAGGGGAGAGAGAGAGAGGAGAGAGAGAGGAGAGAGAGAAGAGAGAGAGAGGAGAGAGAGAGAGGAGAGAGAGAAGAGAGAGAGAGGAGAGAGAGAGGGGAGAGAGAGAGAGGAGAGAGAGAGGAGATGAGAGAGAGGGGAGAGAGAGGGGAGAGAGAGAGAGAGAGAGAGAGAGAGAAGAGAGAGAGAGGAGAGAGAGAGGGAGGAGAGAGAGTGGAGAGAGAGAGAGGGGGAGAGAGAGGGGAGAGAGGAGAGGAGAGAGAGAGGGGAGAGAGAGAGGGGAGAGAGAGAGGGGAGAGAGAGAGGAGAGAGGAGAGAGAGAGGGGAGAGAGAGAGAGGAGAGAGAGAGGAGAGAGAGAGAGAAGAGAGAGAGAGGAGAGAGAGAGGGGAGAGAGAGAGAGAGGAGAGAGAGAGGAGAGAGAGAGAGAAGAGAGAGAGAGGAGAGAGAGAGGGGAGAGAGAGAGGAGAGAGGAGAGAAAGAGGGGAGAGAGAGAGAGGAGAGAGAGAGAGAAGAGAGAGAGAGGAGAGAGAGAGGGGAGAGAGAGAGGAGAGAGGAGAGAGAGAGGGGAGAGAGAGAGGGGAGAGAGAGGAGAGAGAGAGAGGAGAGAGAGAGAGGAGAGAGAGAGAGGAGAGAGGAGAGAGGAGAGAGAGAGGGGAGAGAGAGAGGGGAGAGAGAGAGGGGAGAGAGAGAGGAGAGAGAGAAGATACAGGAAAGAGAGAGAAGAGAGTGTTATAAAAACATTATGAGTGAAAACAGAATGAGAGAAACTGACTGTCTGCAGATGAGTGGGCTGATGGAGACACTCTGGATTCGGGAGAGACACACACCCCGTCGAACAAACGACCTGCAACACAACAACACACATCAGAGCGGCTACACACAGATTCAGCAAAACAATATCACTCGCACGAGTCTAAAAAGCCCTGGACAAAACACTTTGCACTGGATCATAAAGTATATCTTATCTTAATGCATTTACGGTAGACGGGTAAAGGACTAAAACATATGGATATCTTTTATACTTGATATGAATATTGACTTATAATGTTTATATTTTACTGTTGCTACTTTGCTTGTGTGCCTTCTTGCCTTTGCCCCCCCTCCCCTGGCGTGTCTCATTCATCATGGCGGTGCATAGATGTATTTATATTATGTTGGAAGCAACAAACTCATCTACGAAACGAGGAGTGTTGAACATGGAAGAAGCGTGTGGTGGAGTAGAAACAGAGTCTGGCCTTTTACAGCGGTGGGCGTGGCTCCGATTGTCTTTGTGGTTATTATGACAAAACCAGGCTTCAACAGTCGGGGCTTTAAACGCAGCTAAAAACACAGATAACCCACAGTCCACATTACTGCGGTGACTGTGCATACACTAATCGGGGTAACTTATACTTAAGTCAGACTTTAATTTTATCGTACAAATTTTACAGAAATGTGTTCTTATACACCACAGGTGTCAAACCAGTCCTCAAAGGGCAGGTGCAGGTTTTAGTTCCAACCTGAGCCGGAACAAACCAAACCACCCGAGTCCAGTTTGAACCTGAAGATTTGATGAATGGAGTCTGGATTGTTCCTGCTCGGGTTGGAACTAAAGCCTGCCCTTTAAGGACCAGTTTGACACCACTGTTTTACACCCTTGAGTTGAGTTGGGGTCATCTCACACACCCCTGGGCTGGCCTCACTCCGATGCTTCTGGACACATTCTGAGATGGTTCTAATATTCTGTGTATGTGTTTTATCCCTTGTAAATCTGTGCTGTTATCTCAGTCTGCTCCGGTTAGATCATAGAGGTAAAAATTAACAGCTTTTGCTGAACGTGCACAGATCTCGCCTCAGTACATCAGAGCAGCTCCTTCATTGGAGGTTTTTTGGGCCTTGGCTTTTAACACCAACTGAGTTTCACTGTTTTATCTTCCACATGTATTTGTGTTTAGGTCTTAAAATATTACAACACTGGTTTCCAAAGACAGATTTACAAGATACATTCATAATATTCGTTTAGCAGAACTATGAGCTGAAAATCAAACTAGGTTAAATGACTTAATGCATGTGCAGACTGAAAGTGTAGAACACTAAACACAGCCATGATGGACTTACAGAATATAAACACATCTGTTCTTCCTGAAAGCCCGGGGTTCAGAATCTCTAGTATGACATGTACCAGATGCTCTTAACACTGTTGGAGACCAGATTTTGATACTTTAAAAACGAAACTATAAATGACAGAATACATGTTTTGTGACGTGAGCCGAGGGGGCAGGTCAGCTGTTGCAAACTAAATAAAAAACATATTCTGACATCCTTCATCACGTGTATTATCCTCATTTAAACCTGTGACGTTCTTCCAAATAGTCCTGAACCACAGAAAGCAGCTTTAAAAACATCTGCTGCTGTCGGAGCTTGGTTAGCATTAGCATTAGCATCACTGCGTCCTTTCATTGATAGGAGCAGAACATTAACTCTATCACGCACTCACTCAGATCAAAACCAAAGCACATGGTGTAGAAAGAGTGTATCTAAGATGTCATGATCAAAGACAGACACTAAAGTGAACTAAAAAGAGGAAAAGGAGAGAGGAGCAGAGACGCACTGACCTTAGGAGCAGCGCCATGTTGGATTTTCGAAGGCGGAAGTGACGTCAGATGTTGTTATCTAGAGAGGGCCTTCTGGGTCGCACGTTAATAATTATCATCAAGGGTTTTTACGTGCACGAGGTCAGAACTAAATAGAACGAGGTCATTCATTAGAAAATTAAAAAATAAATGAATTTGTCTACTACAGATAGCCCCATTTCCACCAGCCCCACTTAGCACGATTCTACTTTAACTAAATTGAGACCAAAAGTTATGTTTTTGATAGTCACCACAGATACCAGGGATGATTTTTCAGGCTGCCCTCCACCATACTGTTAAACTACAGTGTATTTGGAAGGTTGTGATGTCACATGAACACAATCTTTTGCTGTTTAAACTACAAAAATATATATAATGTGGTGTAAATTGAAGCTGAGGTATCGGTTATAACAGGAAATAGAACAAAGCCAACAATGAAAATTTGAAACATGTTCTTTTTGCAAACAGTCGGTTTATTGATGTCACATGTTCCGTAAAGATCAAACACAAACATCAGAGACTTTTCTACAATGGAACACGTTCTAAATCACTGCAAACACACAGCAGGTCCCAGCAGCAGCCGAGGTCAATAGTACGACTCCTGCTCCACCCAACCTGAAACACAGACAGTTGATCACAGTCAGAGTCGAGCTGAGGATGTGTGGAGACAACAGCAAGTTTATCTGTATGGCACGAGTCAGAAACTATTCAATTCAAAGTGAGCTACAAAACAAAGGAGACCTCCATCGAAAGAGGATAAAACATAAAGCCCTGTTTCCACCAACTCTACTCTACTCTACTCTACCCAACTCTACTCTACTCTACTCTACCCTACTGTACCCAACTCTACTCTACTCTACTCTACTCTACCCTACTCTACCAAACTCTACCCAAACTCTACCCAACTCTACTCTACTCTACTCTACTCTACTCTACTCTACTCCTACTCTACTCTACTCTACTCTACTCTACCCTACTCTAACCCTACTCTACCCAACTCTCTACTCTACTCTACCCTACTGTACCAACTCTACTCTACTCTACCCAACTCTCTACTCTACTCTAACCCTACTGTACCCCAACTCTACTCTACTCTAAAACCCAACTCTTCTCTACTCTACTCTACTCTACCCTACTCTACCCAACTCTACCCAACTCTACTCTACTCTACTCTACTCTACTCTACCCTACTGTACCCAAACTCTACTCTACTCTACTCTACTCTACTAACTACTCTAAACCCTACTCTACCAAAACTCTACTCTACTCTACCCAACTCTACTCTACTCTACTCTAACCCTACTCTACTCTACCCTACTCTACTCTACCCTACTCTCTCTACTCTACCAAACTCTACTCTACTCTACCCAACTCTACTCTACCCTACTCTACCCTACTCTACCCAACTCTCTACTCTACTCTACCCTACTGTACCCAACTCTACTCTACTCTACCCAACTCTCTACTCTACTCTACCCTACTGTACCCAACTCTACTCTACTCTACCCAACTCTTCTCTACTCTACTCTACTCTACCCTACTCTACCCTACTCTACCCAACTCTACCCAACTCTACTCTACTCTACTCTACTCTACTCTACCCTACTGTACCCAACTCTACTCTACTCTACTCTACTCTACTCTACTCTACTCTACCCTACTCTACCAAACTCTACTCTACTCTACCCAACTCTACTCTACTCTACTCTACCCTACTCTACTCTACCCTAACTCTACTCTACTCTAAACTCTACTCTACTCTACCCAACTCTACTCTACCCTACTCTACTCTACCCTACTCTACCTACTCTACCCAACCTCTACTCTACCCTACTCTACCCAACTCTACCCCTACTCTACCCAACTTTACCCAACTCTACTCTACTCTACTCTACCCTACTCTACCCAACTCTCTACTCTACCCTACTGTACCGAACTCTACTCTACCCAACTCTACTCTACTCTACTCTACCCAACTCTTCTCTTCTCTACTCTACTCTACCCTCTACCCCATCCTACCTACTCTACCTACTCTACTCTACCCACTGACTCTACTCTACCTACTCTACTCCTACCCTAACCTACCCTACTCTACTCAACCCTAATCTACCCTACTCTACTCTACCCTAACCTACCCCACACTACTCTACCCAACTCTACCCAACTTTACCCTACTCTATCCCACTCTATCCCACCCTACTCTACTCTACCCTACTCTACTCTAACCCTAACCTACCCTACTCTACTCTACATCTACCCTAACCTACCCCACTCTACTCTACTCTACCCTACTCTACGATTGCGAGAACCAGTACCAGGTCCTTCTTTAGTCCCTCTTGGTCCTGGTTCAATCCAGGCCTTAAAAACAACCAGGTAGAGTAGAACAGAGTAGGGTAGAGTCGAGCAGAGCCGAGCCGAGCAGAGTAGAGCAGAGTAGGGTAAGTAGTAGTAAGTAAGCTTTATTTATATACCGCCTTTCACAGACCAGAGTCACAAAGCGGTTTACAATTGTTAATTTTTGGGCATTTGTCTCTCACTCCACACAGAGATGGGAGCGGGGTCGCCGTACAGGAGGCGCATGCCAGAACTATTGTACATATTTTTAGTGGTAGGGGAAACCGGAGTACCCGGAGGAAACCTACGCAGACACGGGGAGAACATGCAAACTCCACTCAGAAAGGCCCTGGTCCGGCCGGGATTCGAACCCAGGACCTTCTTGCTGAGAGGCGAGAGTGCTATCCACTCAGCCACCGTGCCGCCCGGGTAGAGTAGAGTAGAGTAGAGTAGAGTAGGGTAGAGTAGGGTAGAGTATAGTAGGGTAGAGTAGAGTAGGGTAGAGTAGGGTAGAGTTAGAGTGTAGGGTAGAGTAGGGTAGGGTAGAGTAGGGTAGGGTAGAGTAGAGTAGAGTAGGGTAGAGTAGAGTAGAGTAGGAAGTAGAGTAGAGGGTAGGGTAGAGTAGAGTAGAGTAGAGTAGAGTAGCGTAGGGTAGAGTAGAGATAGAGTAGGGTAGAGTAGGGTAGGGTAGAGTAGAGTAGGGTAGAGTAGGGTAGGGTAGAGTAGAGTAGAGTAGGTAGAGTAGAGTAGGGTAGAGTAGGTAGGTAGGGTAGGGTAGGTAGAGTATAGTAGAGTAGGGTAGAGTAGAGTAGGGTAGAGTGGGCCAGTGGAAACAGATTACAGAGTAATTATAATCCGTGTTAATCTGTGAGTGGGAGACAATGAGTTTAAAAGTGAAAAACAAAAGTATTTTAGAGGAGAGTCGTGTGAAGCAGACGCTGAGTCGCTGCCGGTTCTTTGGCTCCAGACTCCATCTTAAACTGAGCTGGAACTCTTTACTCTTCAGCCAACTCTGCCAACTCCAGCAGCAGCGTTTGGACCAATCTCACA